GCCTCAGCCCTGGGAGCTGTAGGGGAAACCAGCCCACTTCCTTCCCCCCTCCGGAAAACACAGTTTCAGGGAGTTTTCTGGGGTTTAAACTGGATTATTTTGAGCCCAACAGGTACAGGAACCACCGAGGGTGAAAGGTGGTCTGATCAAAAAACTGTTTTATCATTTCAACATTTTTTGTAGATTAAGTGACACAATTAAATCACTGTAAAGAAACCACATTTCCTGGCAATCCCTGGTTCTATCTGTAATTGCAGAGGGGGTTCTGTCTCCCCAAACCCTGGCACTGGGTGACTCTCAGCCATGACAATGCTGCGTGTTGGGATCATCAGGAAAATTGTATCACTACAATTAAAACAATCACTGTCTAATAAAAACCACCCGTTGGAAAACAATGGCAGCAATTACACACACGGTGCTCAGGGAGCTGCTGATGCTCACCCAGATAAGAATGTCATAAAGTAAGGGGGGGGGTCATTTGCATCTCAGACTTCTTTTTATCATATTTAGAAATTTTGGCACGTTCAAATTTATCCAGAGAGCTGAATTTCCCCTCAGCACTGAACTCGATCAGCTTCTTGCTATTTTCAGAAAATAATTGCTCTGTTCAAGTTCCATAAAACAGCAGGAAATTCCTCTGGGCCGCCTCCTTTTCACCTCCAACCTCACACCTGAGCCCTGACTTCGTGGAGCCAACACCCTCCTCTGGGTCAGAGCTTAACAGGAAGCCCAGAAAAGCCCCCAAATCCCACTCCTGACTTCAGGAATCCACCTGGAAGCTCCTTCCCAACGTTCCTCAGCCCAGCCAGGACCTGCTCCAGCCGGCAGAGCCTCCCCCAAGGCAGAGCATCCCCCGGAGATGCTCCTCCAGGAGCACGGGCAGGGCAACCTCCACCTGCTCCAGCCACCCAGGAACCCAACAGCGTCTCAGGAGCTCCACTGGAAGCCAAACTTACCCAGGTGATGGGAGGGAAGGACGGGAGGGAAGTGCCTGGGAGAGCCCCGGCACGGCCGAGCCTTTATAGGGTGCCCGAGTGCCCCAGGGGACTGAGGTGGTTGGGCTGGTGAGGCTCTAATTGCCTCCCAGTCCTGGCTGAGCCACGTGCAGCTCTGGGGCTGGCCTGGCTCCGTGGGGCTGTGGGGACACCGGGGTGGATCCCCCTGGAGCTCCCAGGGACCCCCCGAGCTGAGGGGCTGCACCAAAAACCCCTGCGAGGCCCAGGACACCCCACACAGGGGCTGCTCGTGGTGCCCAAGGGGGGAGCAAAGCATCGCTGCCTGCCCGGGGCAATCCCAGCTGGAACATCCCTTCCCACCCCGAACCAGGGAGCAGCCCAAGGAACTCCTCATTCCAGGGGAGCTTCGGGCAGAAACCCCTCGGGAGCCTTTGAAAAGCCGCCCAGGAAGGACTCGGCTCCCGCAGCCCCTAATTTAATTACCAGGGCACTTCCTGCACCTCCACGGCCAGCCCAGGGAGCAGAGGGCTCATTAGGGCCGAGAGGGCCTTGGGCTGAGGGCAGGACAGCTCCCAAAAATGCCCCGTCACAAAGGGGATGAGAAGGGAACGACCTGCCCGGAGAGGTGACGAGGAGGGGAAGGGCCGAGCTCTGGGGGAGAAGCAGCTCCACAAACCAGTGCCCCGACAACAAAAAACCCCATTTCCTGCTCTGCTGCACATTCCCTGCTCCAGTCATCCCTGCCTTTGTTCCCTGTTTGTGCCACGAAGGGGAAAATTGGCAGTGGCGGGAGCGGGAGTTGCCGCCTGGGAATGCGCTTGGGAAGAGTCACAAATACTTCAGGGAAGGCTCTGGAATTCCTGTGTCCCTTTAATATGAATCCCACAGCTCCAAATTGGGTGTGGAATTCGGGTGACGTCCCACAGCTGGAATAAAAAGAGGGGGAATAATCACAGGATCACCTCCTGAGCTGGAAGGGACCCACAGGGATCACTGATCCCAATTCCTGGACATCCCAAAATCCCACCACGAACCCGAGGGTTGTCTGAACCCTCCTGGAGCTCTGGCAGCTTTGAGGCTGTGCCCTGGGGAGCCTGTTCAGTGCCCAACCACCCCCTGGGGGCAGAACCTTTTCCAGTATCCAACCCTGAGGGGAAATAAGTGACTTTTCAGTGGAGCAATGGAAAATCCCTCATCAATAGGAAGCCCCAGGATGCTGCTGGTTTGCCTTCCCTGGAGGCTGGAAATGATCTCCCAGGGATGTGGTTTATTGGTGGGATTGGCTGTGCTACATTTCCAGCTGGACTCCACGACCTGAAAGGCCTTTCACTTCAAGAATTCCATGATTTGGAGCGGAATATCGAGCTCTCCTTTATGAACCACGAGCTGAATTTCCTATTTCTTTTTTTTCTTTTTTTTTTTTCCCCCAGAAAATCCAAAAGCCTGAAGGCACCTTTGTCATCTGCATTTTTTTATTTGCACTTCCCTCACCACCACGGGAAACAAGAGGGACAAAGGGCTTGTTTTCCAGGTTAATCCCAACATTCCAAGAGCTGAAGGGAGGGACACCGGAGACAAAGCCTGACTCCAGCCTGGATCCCTCTTACTTTTATTGTGCTTCCCTCCCCTGAGCCACAAGGCCCTTTTTAATGGCAAATGATCTGACCCCAGGTTTTAGGAGCCCAGCTGGCGTCGGGGAGCAGATTAAGGCAGTTTTTAAGAGCTCCACCAGCCCAGTTCCCGGGGAAGCTCTGGATTAAGTCGTGTCCAGGTAATCCCAGCCCCCAGTTTGGTGTTTGCAGAGCAGGAGCAGAGCCCCAGCGATGATCCCATCGGGACCTGTCATCCAAACGACCCTAATTAGCATCTCTGAGGGCCTTTCATCTCGGGGAGACTCCTGGAGCCACACGGGGCATGGGGGGGGGGGTTATTATTGCTAATTAAGCACAGGGAAAAGCGAGGCAGGGCTGAGTCAGAGCCGGGGCAGAACCACAGACTCCAGCACGGGCACCTCCCAGACCAGGTCCCTGGGAGGGAGAGCAGATCCTGCAGCTCACCCAGCACCCAGAACAGCTTCCCTACGGATCCCCCGGGCTCGGGGAGAGCCCCGGGGCCCTGGAGATGGGGCAGCTCCTCCAAGGGGCACAGCCTGGCTCGGGAACGGGCTGGGAGAGCTGGGAATGGTCAGCCCGGAGAGGAGGAGGTTGTGTGGAGACCTCAGAGCCCCTTCCAGGAGCTGAGGGGGCTGCAGGGAAGCTGGAGAGGGATGTTCCTCAGGAACTGGGGTGACAGGGCAGGGGGTGGGTTCAGCCTGACAGAGGGGAGATTTAAATTGGATACTGGGGAGAAATTCCTGCCTGGAAGGAGGGTGGGGAGGCCCTGGCACAGGTTGCCCAGAGAAGCTGTGGCTGCCCCATCCCTGGGAGTGTCCAAGGCCAGGCTGGAGCATCCTGGGCTGGTGGGAGGTGTCCCTGCCCGTGGCAGGGGGTGGGATGAGCCGATTTTCCAGGTCCCTTCCAACCCAAACCATTCCAGGCCCCTGTTCCTTCCTTTCAGAGGGGACACAGGTTGGGGGAACCTCCCAGGTGTTGGGGTGAGGAGCTCCCCGGTCACTGCTGCTCTTCCCCCTGCCCTTGGGGGCCAGAACATCCCCCCAGACCAGAACATCCCCCCCAGACCAGAACACCCCCCCAGACATCCAGGAGAAGGGACCAAGGGCTCTGCTCCTCCAGGAGCCCCGGGGAAGCAGCCAAGATGCCACCACAAGGTCACTGAGCCGGGGTGGGGCAGGGCAAGATGCAGGACAGCGTCCTGGCCCGGGTCACACCCTCCTCTTCCTCTTGCAACACTTGTTTTCACCCTCCCAACACCCCCGAGCCACTTGGCCTGAGCTCATTTTCCTAATGACAGGGCCCACTACAGGGCCTGTGTCTTTTTTTTTTTTTTTTTTTTCAGGCAGGACTTCACCATATTTAATAAAAAACAACCCCCAGGAGGCAGAAAGACGAGATTTTTAATCCAGGCTCAGACAGCTCTGTTTATTTAAGTCTCTCTATATGTAAATACACATATAAGTGTGTACAAATAAAGTTTATTTTCAGCACAGTGAAGAGCGCACAAAGAACACAATCAATTGCATTTTACAGCTTAAACATTTACAAAACGGCCGTGCTGCAACTTTCAGTGTTGTTTCAAAGGCTTGCTTTCGCTTCAGGTGGTGAGGTTTGATTTTAATTAAAGCAACCGAGCGAAGGAAAAACCTTCGTTTCATTTCGGCTTCAGGGAGCCAGAAATGCTGCCCTGTTCAGGGGCTGGGCTGAGGGAATTTCTGGCCACTTCCCAAAGGGAAAGCCTTTGGAATTCGGCCTCTCCTGGGCCTTTTCCCCTCTTAGGAGGACAATCTGAGAGAGTTGGGCTTGTCCCACCTGAACACGAGGGAAAACTTCTCTCTGGGTGCCCGAACCCCCCGGGAGGGGCTGGAGTGTCCCTTCCCTCCCTGGGGAGACCCCAGAACTCTCAGGGAGGTTGGACCCACGGGGGTCCCTTCCAGCCTCCCCCATTCCAGGATTCTGGGTGAGATTCTTGGACCTTTTGCTCCACAAGCCCACCTCGGGCTCCCCAGTAAGAACCAGTTCAGGGGCCAGCCCTGCTCCAGCAGCACTCCCAGCTGGTGCTGCCGGGGTCTGGACTCCTGGGACGTGTCTCTTTCTTTAATTATTATTATTATTTTGCTTTAAAATCACCGTTTATTCGGATCGGGTGAGAGTTTAATCCCACCCCACCAAACTGGGCCTTGCAGCAGGTTCAGGGACGAGCCCCAGGCAGCTGGAGAGCAGCCCTGGGAATGGGATCACACGGGAATGGGATCACATGGAAATGGGATCACACCCAGGCAGAGCAGAGCTCCGGGGGAAACGTTGGAAAACAGGGATAAAGCGGATTGGAGAGGCAGGAACCATCGGCAGGTGCCCGAGGAGACAAATAACCCCCGTCCCAGAGCTGGGCCTCCCCCTTTTCCAGGGGTTTTCCTTCCCCTGCTCCTTTTTACCAGGGCCATTTGGGGGCTGAGATGTATTTTTTTAAGTGATTGGAAATTTTCACCCCACCTGACTGACAATGCTGCTGAGGGACACTTGGGGTGGCACTTTGCTGAGGGACACAGCTGGTGACACTCTGGCAAGGGACACACTTGGTGGCACTTTGCTGAGGGAAACACTTGGTGGCACTTTGCTGAGGGACATATTGGGTGGCACTTTGCTGAGGGACACACTTGGTCACACTCTGGTAAGGGACACAGCTGGTGGCACTTTGCTGAGGGACACACTTGGTGGCACCCTGATAACAGACACACTTGGTGGCACTTTGCTGAGGGACACACTTGGTCACACTCTGGTAAGGGACATAAATTGTCCCAGACTGCTGAGGGACACACTTGGTGGCACTTTGCTGCTGAGGGACACACTTGGTCACACTCTGGTAAGGGACACATTGGGTGGCACTTTGCTGAGGGACACACTTGGTGGCACTTTGCTGAGGGACACATTTGGTGGCACATCTCTGCTGCTGAGGGACACACTTGGTGGCACTCTGATAACAGACAGACTTGGTGGCACATCTTTGCTGAGGGACACACTTGGTCACACTCTGATAAGGGACACACTGGCTGGCACTTTGCTGCTGAGGGACACACTTGGTGGCACATCTTTGCTGCTGAGGGACACACTTGGTCACACTCTGATAACAGACAGACTTGGTCACACTCTGATAAGGGACACACTGGGTGGCACTTTGCTGAGGGACATAACTGGTGGCACTTTGCTGCTGAGGGACACAAACTGTCTCACCCTGCTGCTGGGGGACACAAATGGAGGCACAGTCGGTGGCACTGGGCTGGGGGACACACTTGGTCACACACCTGGAGGCCCATTGCTGGGGGACACAGGAGGTGACACTCTGCTGGGGGATGTAGGAGGTGCCACTCTGTTGGGGGATGTAGGAGGTGCCACTCTGCTGGGGGACACAGGAGATCTGCTGGGGGACACAGGAGGTGCCACCCCGCCGGGGTCCCTGGCAGGTCAGGTACGGGTACGAGCCCCCCTTGGCCGCTCGCTGCTGGGGGACACAGGTGGTGACACACCTGGGCACGCCCTGCCGGGGGCACAGGGCGGTCACACTCTGCTGGGGGACACACCTGGTGGCACTCTGGTGCTGGGGGACCCCCTTGGTGCCGCGGGGCGGCCGAGGGACACAGGTGGTCACGCACCTCTGCTGCGGGGGG